CAACCAATAGAAGAGATTCACAAGAAAAAGGCGATGTGGTTACCTCCAGAAGTTGATAACTAAGATAGGAGTTGATTCCTACACTCTACTTGCTCAAAACTCCTTCTCCTACAAGCCTTCTCCCCCCCCCCCCCCGACCCCCAAAGATCCTCTTTTCAAGCTTCAAACACACATTGGGCACACACACACGTATTAGGGTTTTAAGGGGATCTCAAGGACTCCAAAGAGGAAAAAGGAGGTTGAGGCTCCTTTAAATAGAGGTGAAAACCCCAAGATTTAGGGTTTCATCTTCCAACTCCTACTCGCCGAGTCCCAATATGGACTCGTCGAGTAGGTTACTTAACACGCGATCCAACCCCGCTGCTACTCGACGAGCAGGTCAACCAACTCGCCGAGTAAAGCTTAACCCAATAAATCTTATTTAAACAATACATGAGAATCAGGGTGTTACACTTAGTAGATATGGATATGTCTACTTAATCAAGCATAAGTCAGAAACCTTTGAGAAATTCAAAGAGTTTAAGAAAGAAGTGGAGAATCAGTTGGGTAGGAACATTATGATGCTTCGATCCGATCGTGGTGGTGACTATCTTAGTACTGAGTTCCTTGACTATCTTATGGAATGTGGGATTGTCTCACAATTGAAACCTCATTGCATTTTTCTTTGCATAATGTTGCTGGATTTGGGATTATTGTTGGACGGAGGATTGGGCGCACCACCATGGTAGCCAACCATGGTGGCTACCGTTTCAGCCATGTCTTGCCGCCACCATCCACTGTAGGAGGTAGCTGTGGGTGTGTTTATGGTTTGATGTAGAGCTTAAGTGCTGATTTTGGAAATTTTGAGGTGGAATGAGTGCTTATATGGCCGAAAAACCCCCACCACCACCGTGAGGTGGTGGCTGCCGCCGTAAGCTGCCACCAACCACCAACGCCCGAGGTGGCAGTGTATAGTGCTCATTCTAATGGAACCCTATTGGGCCAAAACACTTAATATTGGGCTGATCTAGTTCGTTAGTTAGCTAGAAACCCTAATTAGGGTTTAGAGAAAAACCCTAATTGTGAGTTCCTTAGTTTGGGCCTATTGGGACCCGTGTTTGGACCAGTGGACTGAAGTTATAACTCATGAAAATTATGTTGTATGATGGCTTAGTGGAATAATAGACTTAATGGGTTGAGTGAGAAAACTTAACCCTAATTTTCATAACATGTGAAAACCCTAATTTTGTTTGGGCCTTGAATTGGGCCCTTTATTGGGCCTTGGTGACTGGGCTACTAATGGGGCATCCAAGAACAATCATGTGGACTAGGATATTTAGATAGGATTTAGGGTAAGGCCCATATGAGGTTTGGGCCCAATTTGGAAAATTGAGCCATTGTTGGGCCATTAGTGGACTCTTATGGAACCATTTGGTATTGGGCCCATTGGGCTTCAGTTATTTCTGGACCGGATTGGTGGACCATATTTGCACCTAATGTGTGAATGTTTGGTCTTAGATTCTAATTGGGTTAATTATGGGTTTGGCTTAGTGTTAGAAGTCAGAGTACAACAACAGCATTTATAGGATCTTTTCGCCATCCGAAGTGAGTCTTCTCACTACTTATTTGTGTTGTAATTTGTGTGTGATCGGAGGGTCTTATTCTTGTTGATGAACAATGTGTCTTATTTGCACTATTTATCGGAGGGTCTTAGTATATTATTGACCAGAGGGTCTCAGTACATATAGACCGGAGGGTCTTAGTACACTATCGACCGGAGGGTCTTATTTGTTTATTATGTGTTACATGTTATCGTGCATACTATCTTTTTGACTTATGTTGTTATGGTAATATGTGTATATATTGATCTTATGTGCTTATTAGAGTACTACGATACCCTACATTATGTCTATGTGAATTATGTTGTGTATTTATTATGAGCTTATAGAGTTTGGACAAGAGGGTCCACAGAGTTAGGACCGGAGGGTCCACAGAGTTAGGATCGGAGGGTCCATTAGAGTTGTGGGACTGGAGGGTCCCACTGAGACACATTGACCGGAGGGTCTTATAGAGTTATAGCCTCTAGTGGCTAATGTGTATTTGTGGTATTTTAGGGAACTCACTAAGCTTCGTGCTTACCGTGTTATGTGTTATGTGTTTCAGGTACTTCTCAGGATCACGGGAAGGCGTCGGCTTGATTGTACACACGAGATGGAGTTGTGTTCGAGGATCCTGGATTTTATTTAAATAATTATGAACACGCGTTTTTGATAATTGATATATTGAGATTTTGTTATATGTGTTGATGATATTTATGTGATTTAAAAAAAATTATATGAAAATTTATGTCGTTACATCAGAGCTTGTGGAGCTCCAGACTATCATGGGGCTCAGAGCCCCATTGCTAGCTGTAGGTAGTTAGCTGATGTCGCCAACGCCTTTCGTACGAGCCGATGTCTCGAGGGGGAAAAGGTCCGGCTTGCTTCTTGTCTTATGAAGGACATGGAACGTGACTGGTGGGAGGATGTCGGATATACCATTAGAGACGATGCTGCTCTTGATGTGTTGACTTGGAGTGACTTTTTTGCTAGGTTTAGGGTCGAGTTTGCACCTGTGATTGAGGTGCAACAGCTTGTTGATATTTGGTGAAATGGAGCAGAGTGTGGAGGGAGATTTGGAAGACTAACAAAGTTCAAGAGAATGATCAGGATTGTTGGAGGTTATCAAAGAGAGTTGGATTGAAGACTAATGTCATTGGATCTTACTTTGAAGATTGTATAAAAGAAACTTGAGCTTGATGGACTGGAATAATTTTTGAATGATTTTTAGGTTATGAACTCTTGGGCTTATATTTATGTGTTTTGGGCTCCTTAGTATCTACACTGGGACCATTTGGATCAGTCAACAAAGTCAAAAGCAAGAGGAAAAAATTTGACCAAAGAGTAGGGGGACAACAAACTTTTCTTTATCAGCACATCTCATAAGGTCGCGTGAGATTTTGCTTTGCACCTCATGCGGCCGCGTGGCTCCTGCAAGGGCAATTCCAGGCTTTCAACTTTTATGGCTATTTGAGGATAGTTGGTGGGGCACTTTTAGGACAACTTTTGGATCCGATTTTTGGGGTATATTTGCTGTAATTTGGAGAGAAAGGGGGAAAGAAACTCTAGGAAGAACACACTTTTGCTCTCATGAAGAACTTGAAGATTGAAGATTTTCATCTTTCCATCTTATTTCATATTTGGTATTTCCAACTTTCTTCTTGTTCTTATGAGTTTAGACATGCTATGCTAAACTATCTTGGGTTGATTTGGATGTAATTTTATGAATGATTTGGTTATTTTGAAGAACTCCATGAACTTGTGTTGAATATATATGATTATATTTTCTATGAAAACTTCCTTCGTGTTTATATATCTCTCTAGTCATGAATATTGATATGTGAAAGTTGTTTTTGTTGGTTAAATTCTTGGCTAAGTAATGGGTTTTCAATTTGACAAGCAACAATTAGTTTAAATGTTTGTTTTCATTTAATTTAGACTAAGAAAATACTTTATCCATAATGGTAATGAAAGCAACGAATTATTCTTTGGATTAATTTAGTGACTCTTAAATCCTAATACTAATTGATTTTCACAAAATTACATGCTTCATTAGTTTTGTGACTTTGATTTAGGAAATGTGCATTGAGCTTCTTCAGCCATTTTAGTATAAGAAAAGATTTGAGGCAAGTTGCTTATAAATTGTTATATCCAAATTAGATTGTAAACACTTTTATTGCACCTTAGTATTCTCATGATTAAATAACCAAATGTTCAAGTGATGGAAGTCCAAAGTCAACCATCTTTCTTTTATTGATTTTACATCAAACCTTGCTTTTGTTGACTTCTATTTTTGATTCTTGGAATAATTCTAGCTTTCTTTTAAATATCTTTAAATTCCAAAAACATTTAAACCTCCATTTTTACTTTTATTTTTGCACTACTAGAAAAAAGGCCTTTTACGACGCGCAAAATACGACGCTCATTGATCTATGTTACGCAAAGGAGAGTGACATTAGAAAAATGTCATCTCTTCAAAAAAATTAAGGATAGAAGACACGCATTATTGCGCGCCCTTAAATTAGTGTCTAAAAAAACACGGAGGGCACCTATAATAAAATGTGCGTCGTCTAAGGATGTCGCATTATAATTTTTAATGGAACGCGCATTCCATCCTTTAACAGTAGGGGGAAATGAAATTCTGAAAAAATTAAAAATCCCGCCTTCCTATTTTTTCTCCTTTCCCTCTTGCCCAAATTATGGACGCCCCTTCCTTCCCCCTCCCGACATTGACTGTTGCCTACTTCTTCCCTCACTTCTACCTACTGGAACCACCATATCTCCCATTCGATGTTGAAATTGTTAGAAAAAGCCCTAATTATACTCTCAAGTCTAGATACAGAAAAAATAGAAGATGGTGAAGAAGTAGCAGTAGAGGAAGTGGAGGATGAACAGTCGAAAATGGAAGGAATGGCATCAATAGCGTTGTTACTAGATGGGTCAATCTCGGGTCATTTTGTTCAGCTTCCCGAGTCCGTTTATTACCAGATGGGTCAATCTCGTCTTTTCATCTCGACTTCATATCTCTCTGTAAAGCAACCGACGACCCCCACACCACCATCTGCAAACCCTAAGTCGTCGTCTAAGGATATCCGCTCTTCCTCCTTCCCATTTGACTAATTCTTCGTCAGCTCTTGTTGAATTTCTCACACAATCGTTGCTTTTGTTTGATTTCGTTTGATTTTGTCAAATTGCAGGGTTTTTCTGAATCCGTCAACTCCTTCTTTAATCGGTTGATTTTCATCTTGTTTTAACGATTCGTTTACATAAAGTTTTGTTCTTTTTTTTTTGTTAATTTATCTTTAATAGAAAAATGAATCAAAATCAAACTCATTGACTTTTAAATTTGTCTACAAATCGTAGCTTTCATGACCGATTTTATTGGTGAGATCGAAGGATTTGTAACTTAGGGTTTTAGTGAAGATGTTGGGCGCTGGATTGCAGCATGGACGTAGTAGTGGTGGAGAGGATAGGTTTTACATGCCGGCGAAAGCGAGAAGGATTCGTCAGCATCAAGAGAACCTCCGTAGAGCTCAAAGTAACGTTACTCCGACCCAATCTACGACATCTTCTGTTAGGGAGGAGCCGGAGAATCAACTCATGCAGCCATCAAATCCGGAGCCGTTGGAATCCTCAGTGGTGGCGGTGCCGGCAACATCATCGTTGTGTAATCTTGAACGGTTTTTGGAAACTGTTACGCCTTCTGTTCCTGTTCAACATCTCTCCAAGGTCTGTACCGATATTAATCTTTTATATTGAAATGAGTTGAATTAATTCAAATTAGTCGTCTCAGTTTATACTTGTATTGCTAATTCGTTATATCATTGAGTAAAGTAACTTATAGGAACATTTGGTTTATTCAATTTGAGTATGCGATAGTCAATTAATCAGATTTTTGATTTATAGTTTAGTAGTATAATTTACTTTACATTTTAGTTGTGGTTTTCTCTTTCTCCATTGGCACTACTCCGAAATACATGTTTGAAAGCAAATGAAGTCAGCTTGAATTATTATTCAGTGACCCCTGAGGGTGGCCTTTCAGTTTTTATGAGTGAACAGAGTTTGCCTTTGATGTTATATTTCTATTGTTTAATCAAGGATTCCATATTTTGACAATCAAAATATATGTGTTTCTGCTAAAGCACACCATCTTCCAAAAAGAATTAGAGTACAATAAAATGGTTAATGTTCAGTAATCATGTATAAACAGGGGTATTGTAGTTGTGTATTTGATCCAAAAAATGATTTTACTTGAACTTTATGGCAGCAGAGAACTATGAGAGGATGGAGGACAAGTGATGTGGAATATCAACCATACTTTGTTCTTGGTGATTTGTGGGAATCTTTCAAGGAGTGGAGTGCTTATGGTGCTGGAGTTCCTTTAATATTGAATGAAGCTAATTGTGTGATCCAATATTATGTGCCTTATTTATCTGGAATTCAAATATATGTAGACCCTTTGAAGTCTTCAATAAATTCCAGGTACTGGAACAGTAAATATCTTCCTTTCTTCCTCTTTCTTGTTTAGGGTTATGTCAGGCTCCTTTTCAACTAGTAGCATCTATTATGCTTCTTTATGAAATTTAAATAATCTAGTTATTCTGTTGCTTTACAGGCAACTAACTGAGGATATTGATGATAACTCATTTACGGATTCAAGTAGTGATGGGAGCAGTGATTATGAACAGGAAAAGGGTTCTTTACATTATCTAAGGGAGAAGAGTAATAATCATCACCCAAAGAATGAAATTCTTCACCGAATAGATCATTTGTCAATGAATGATGAGAACAATGTAGTTCAAGAAGACTTTTCTAGTGATGATAGTGATTCTGCCACCACTCAAAGTTGCTTGATATTTGAGTACATGGAACATAGTCATCCTTTGGGCAGAGAACCTTTGTGTGATAAGGTTAGCTTTAAAAAAAACAAAGAAAGTGGGTTTTATTCTTTATTTATAAATCTTTGGATAATTAGTTTAGTTCTGTTTTCTTGTTGCAACAGATACTTGATCTTGCACAACGTTTCCCTGAATTGAAAAGTCTAAGAAGTTGTGACTTGCTGCCATCTAGTTGGCTTTCTGTCGCTTGGTATGATTGCTAATAAGTACTAGAGTTTGGGAAGGAATGGAATGATTCATTCCATTGCTACAGACCAACCAAATATGATCACAACTCATTCCATTCCTTTGTGATTCCATTCCATTCCATCCAATCAAACAGATTCTTAATATGGTCTTTGCTACTTGCTCTTTCTCACATAATATGCTACTACTAAATGGCCCTTTTTTGATGCTTTTTATCAGGTACCCAATATACAGAATTCCCATGGGGCCCACCTTGAAAGATCTTGATGCTTGTTTTCTAACTTTTCATTCCCTTCACACTCCTACTACAGGTCATTCATATATATCATATAAATCTCCCTGGATTTTTCAGGCTGAGAAACAACCTTTTTTTGTAGTTATAAAATTTACGAGTTGCATTACTAATTTATTGTTATTGTTATTTATTTTTGTTTCAGGCAATGAATGTGAGCATCCACCTGTTGTAAGGCATTTCAGTGGGACGGGTGTGGTCTCATTACCAGCATTTGGCCTTGCTTCATACAAATTCAAGGCACCACTGTGGGTCCCCAATGAATTGAAAAGACTAGAATGCCCTGATGGACTATTCACTATTATATATGTGTTTGTTACTTACATAGAAGTACTAGTGTTGAAAAGACTAGAATGCCCTTATCATGTGATGTGTCAATAAACTGATGGATTACACAGAAGCAGGTCTCCTCCACGTAGGAGTAGGTCACCTTCTAGAAGCTGATTCCAGAAGCCCTTTGCAGCGTTCTGATTCCAATGTAAGTTTTTTTTACCTGTGGAATCATTGATTCCGAGTGTTGATATTTTTTTATTGATTACTTTTTATCTTATCTTTTATATATTATTAATTATTATTAACCCTTGGTTGTGGTATAATATGTAGGGTTTACCTGGACCAATGGGGTTGATGAGTACTAGTCATTTGGAACAAGAAGCTGCAGTACTTGCTTTGTCAACTTTGATGACCATAGCTCCTGCACAAGTTTATGCAGAATTTAAAAAGGTGATTTTTTTTATTTATGAACTTTCAAAGCAACTTTTATTGTTTTACATCTCTTGAATTTTAGTGCATTAGGTCGTATAATATGTTGAAATGTTGAACGTTTTATGATGAGATTGTTTAATTCAAATAAGGGAAGTAGAATAAAGGATAAATTAATTCATAATGTCTATGAAACCCCTTATACCCTTCTCTTGAACGGTGAAATAAATTATAGAGGCGAGATAGAACAAAGGAGTATGGGGTGGCTGAATTATTCCATTTGGATCCTCATTACACAATAAGTTTATGTTTGAAACATATAAAAGTGTGTCTAGCTTTGTATGATCTAGTTGCAGCAAAAGATAAATTATTCAATTTTTTCAGCATCTGTTGTGTCCACATGATACTAAGGAATACAATTCTGTAATTGACTTGGGCATAAACATGTTATTTTGATCAAGAGAAAAAGAAAAATAGCCTAGATAATTAGAAACTTATAAGTAAGTTGGTTGGTGTTATGTGAAAGTGAAAGGGGTAAGTGAAATTTGAGAGTGATTTGTGTTTTTTTTAGTTACATTGCATTGGACTCAATTCCAGCTTGGAAATGGTGGTTTTTTTGGTGCTGGTTATATTCAGGTAAAAGATTTCCCATCTCTTATATTAATGTTTGGTTTTAATGTTTGGCTTATTACATTACTTTTGTCTCCTTTGTTGTATTGATGAGGCTTGAGCATGCTGGGCTGTTAATGTTCCTATTTGTTTTCATTTATGCAGGTAACAATCTTGTTGAAAGGACTTATGAATCAGATATTAATGGTACCGAGTTTAACACTCGAATCCATACGATTAGATGTTAATGGTAACAAGTTTAACACATGTGTCTTTGTTATACATACAAATTAAATGCAATGGATTGTATTTTTTGTATATGGTATTTTATTTTATATTATGCAATGGATTGTATTTTTTGTATATGGTATTTTATTTCTATTATGAGAGATTAAATGCAAATTTAATTTATAAATTAATAAATATATAAATATATATTTTTTTTTAAAAAAATTAAAATTACGATACGCAAAAATGTGTGTCGTCTTCATTTATGACATGGTCTTTCTTGACTGGTACTTCCTTGATACGCATTGCATGTCATAAACACGCGCGTCGTAAGGTTACGACACGCAAATGTGTGTCGTCTTCCTTTATGACAGGGCCTTTCTTGATACGCATTGCGTGTCATAACCGCGCGTCGTAAATGCGCGTCATAAATGCGCGTCGTAAATGCGTGTCGTCTATAGACGACGCGCAAAAGCGCGTCATCTCTCTTTATGACAGGGCCTTCCTTCACGCGCATTTGCGCGTCGTCTGAGCATTTTACGACGCGCAATGAGCGTCGTAAAAGGCCTTTTTTCTAGTAGTGTTGTTTCATAAGTGCTTGAACAAAGAGACTTTCATAGCGTTATAAAATCGAACCAATCTCAGTAGATACAATCCCTTTGCCATTATACGTTATTTTTATATACAATATTAAAGGTATTTATTTTGTTGGCATCGACAACCACCAGGTATGATAACTATCGTCGTACCACCACTCTGCTAAGGATAACCGCTTATATACCACTTATGGTGTAAGTGGCCTTTTGAGCTACTCATTAATCATTAATTTGGGGTGAAATAACATAATGATGTTAGATTCCCCTTCAATAAGAGGTCTAAATATTTTGTATTTCCCGGAACAAATTATCAAGCAAGTGCCACTGCCTTCCTTTATGCACCTTCTTTGAGTTATGTTGCTTTACTGGCATGAGTTGCGATCAAGTCTTGTTCGCGCACTTCTGGAACTTGTCCGTCAACACTAGGTTAGTAGATGGCTCTTTCCTCAGACATGACTATGCTCACCATATTTCAATATAATGGGAGATATCTCCTATGATGTCTTTGCAAATTCGAAGTAGTCTTGTCTTTTGTGTGGCTTTCTTTATAGGGATCCTGCCAGCACGATACTCTGTTTCCAGCAAGTCTACGAAGGTCCGATAACTTGAAAAGGGATGTTGTACATATCAATGTTCTTGACAGTACTACTTAGGGTTCTCAGTACAACTTCATTTGGACTGTGTTCCAAATTCAGTGCTCAGTTAGCTCAAAAGCCTTATTTTCAACAAGAGTTGATCTAGTACTTTGGGGCAGTAAGTCAAAGTGGTACCAGGTCAGTCCATAAGTATCTATTTCCACTAAATATGCGGTAAAGCTCGCTCATATGCTAAACATAGGGTCAATCATGAACCTCTTAGATTTTTTTAGAAAGAATAAAAAAATTATCGTTAAGGTCCCATAGATAGAACATGTTATAATGTACAAAACGTAAGACCTATGTAAGGGAGCCAGTCCTACTCATAAAGGTAAAGGACCAAGCACTAGATCATTGAAAACAAAAAGAAAGATTGACTTTTATATAACTTATTTAAGAACGAGCCATCGTAATTGCTCGCCATCAGAATAAGCTTTCAAGGCATATGCCAAGTCAGCAAGTAAGTAAGTAGGAGCACCCATTTAAAAACTACAACTTTGGATATTTGTAATCACAAAATAAATAAAAATAAATAAGACTCGAGATAAACGAATAAAAGCACACAAAGTGTAGTTGCACTTTAAAAACAAATAAGCGTATAGAAGTACACAAAGCATACTAAAACATTTACATTTGAAACTTAGAGGTAATTGATCCAAAACGTAAAAACCCAGAAGCTATATGAGTCCTAAAATTACAACAGGAGCACAATTAAGATAAACTAAAAAGAACTAATGAATATCTTTTTGAAAATTTTACCCTAAAATGTGAACCTAAAGCTAAATGCAAGTAATTTATTAACGCTCTCGAGGACATCTACGGTCAACTGGAGGGCACCCGAGATCTCTTATAGGTCGTCTTTTGATTGCAATTTGTTGTTGGGTTTATTCAAGAACTATCAACAATTTTGACGAGTTCATTTGATGTTCTCTTTTTTATATATTGTGAAATTCTTTTATCTTTATATTCAACATGCAAGAAATTTAATTGTAAATTGACGGTTCTTGTTGTAGGTTGTTGCTATTCGAGCAACATTGGAGGAAATATTAAGAGTCATTCCTCGTGCATGTGATAGATATAAGGTATGTTTGGTTTACTAATGATGTTATCTCATTTTTTTATTTTAATGAAGTATTGATATCAAGTTCAGTCACCCACTTGAGGAATAACATATAGATGCAATAGAAAAAGTTCTTCCAATAATACATGCTTGAAGAGGCCTTTAGATCAATCGAAATATCAAACAATGACTATAAGCAAGAACAGGAGAGATTCACGAAGAAAAACTTTCACTAAGAAAGATAATCTCACAAAGAGATTATCGTGTGCACAAAGCGACGATTAGGGTTTGTGAAAGACCTCTCTATTCACAAACCTATACAAAACAATATATACTGCTATTCTAGACGATCCCTACAATTCAGGGATACGCCAGCTAATAAAACAAGATAACTAAGGAAACAGGATAAATACAATATTAGTTACAACGTGCTGAATAGACAACTATTACAAACTGAACTGCCGACGTGCTGGTGCTGACGCTGAGACATATGCTGACGCTGAGTTTGTTTCAAACATTATCATATTCCAAGGCTTAACCTTACAATCTCCCACAATATGATGATGCTCAAAACAAACTAAATTAAGACACCCCTGGAAAGGAATTCTTCATACTCAGCTTCAGCTTCAACTTTAACGGGCCAGTAAGGACTGTCCAGCAACTCCTATCTTCTGTTCAGCAACTCCATGGCGATAAGAATGTGAAACTCTCCGGATAAATCTTGATGACTCATGCACATTTGCCTTAAGCCAACAAGGTGAGTGGTTGGAGCTTTTGGGATCTCAGTAGTGCGCTGAAAGCACATCCTCCCGTTTTTGTCAAGGTAGTACATTCCGTGTTCAGGAGCTGAGATGAATTGATGCTGAACCGGATCAACACCAAGAGGAAGAGAATTATTAATCACACCAGTACCAAAGTCTAGAACCAATACGTCTTCGCCATCAACATGAAACTTGGTCTTTCGAGATCTAGGAACTGACGACCTTTGGCCTGGATGCTGAGGTCGTTCTTTAGGAACAAGATCCAGATGCTGAACCTTTTTGATCAGCAGATGAAGAGCATAGGTCAGTTCGGAAGAATGAGCTGAGGTTTGCTTGGATGCTAGATAGAGCAGTTCCATCCATTCCAAATACCCATATCTGATCAGCTCATCCCTTTTTACAACTTCAGTATAAGAGTGCTGAGAACCTTGACGAGTGATCAGCAACGTAAGGATTTTCTCGCTTCGAGGTTTAGAAGCCTTGACCTTGATGATCTTGTCTCCACACATTCGACGATCAAAAACATCTTCAAATCTCTTTCAATCAATCCGGTCAAGAACACTGTCAGCCTTAGGTTTACTAGAGCTAGTAGGAGGTTGAGAAGACTGAGCCTTGGACTGAAACTCCAGGAACTTCTGCATCTGAGCTTCAAACGATCCCTTGGCCTGAAGTTTGTGCTGAATAAGAGATTCATCAGCTTGAGCAATATTCTTTAGAAGCTGAGCTTGATTAGCTTCATCAAGAATTTGCTTGACTTGGTCAGGAGACATGTTCCATTCAGAGGCAAGATTTGAAATACTGACAATGGACTTGGGTTTCTTCACAGACGAAGAATTATTAGTTTGAGAATGATCCAAGTCAGTATCTGTTGCCTTCCGCTTTCGAGACAACGGATGGGATTCTTCACTTGCAACGTCCGAATCCTCTCCTTGGACCGGAATGATCGGATCAGCAACAGGATTGGTTAAAATAGGATGCGATTCTTCAAGGTCATCTGAGCTTTCTTGCTGAACTGGAATGAGAGTATCAATAAAGTTCATGTCAAGAATTTGACATTCATCATCAGCTTCATCATGCTCTTCATCATGCTCACTGTCTTCCACATACTTTTCAGTAGGTGCTGGACTATTACGCCCTGCAAAATCAGAGTCACGAATGACAGGTTCTGTGTTTGGTTCACCATCAGCATGAGTGCTTGGTTCATCATCAGCATGATCATTTGGTTCACCATTAGCATGATCATCAGCGTCAGCATCATCTGTTGGGTTTTGAGCATTCTAACACTTCCTAAGTGTACATGCAACCCTAATAACCTTGGATCTATGTTTTTCTAATTATCATGCAAAGTTGAATTCCAAGGCTATATTCCTATATAGCATACATGGGGAACAATTTTAACTTGAATGATAAATAGAATAACTTACCTTGTTGTTGCTTGTGTTCCTTGGAACCTTGTGAGCCTAGCACCCCAAGTGTGATGCCTCAAATGCTTCACACGACACCAAATGCTCTTGAAAAAACTTATGAGAGAACACACACTTCTTGAAATCGGCCAAGCCCTCTTGTTTCCTTAGTGTAGCCGATTTTGGTGGAGAATATGATTCTTATATAGTGTTGACACATCTAGGGTTACACCATGTAAACCCTAATGTGTCATGACTCTTCATTTCCATGACCCATGGGTTTGTAACTCCCATGGAGCATCCATGGAGCATCCTATGGGTAGAACCCAACTTGATAATCCATGGAGCCTCTTAGCCCACTATACAAGATATGGATGATTTACATAATCAACCCATATATTTAATTAGTTCTCTTTTGACCACTTAATTAATTCTAAATTAATTATTGATCAAACTAATCAAATAATATTATTAATATATTAGAACTTATAATATATTAATAATCTCCAAGTGTTATTTCTCTCATTTAGTCTATCCAATTGCATGGTGCCATGCAACCCAAATGGACCATGCCGGGTCGGGTCAAGTACATACCAGAAATAGTTATGGACTTAGACACCTTATCCAACAGTCTCCCACTTGGATAAGTCTAATAACTATTACTGCAAGTATGACTTCAGGAACCGATCGCAATCGTAGCTCTTTTCAAGGTTTCTCGGAACTGAGAAGATGATGGTACGCCATTTAAGATAAGTGATCATATAATCCTCTGTTCTAGATATCAGTCGGACAAATACATGGAACAATGTTTTACTTATTGTCCAACAGTTTGTTTCCCGATTTCCGATTTGTTTGACAAAGAACTTAATTGAACACATCAACTTAGTTCTGACCGGGCCTGGTACAAGGGTCAAAACAAAATCATCGAGGGGCCCAGATACCAGCTTCTAATCCAAGAAGGAACAGATAAACTTCGACTCATATGTTTGTTCTACCACTCATTGAATTACACACAAGAGCACGATTTATAACATCGAGTTACCAATGCGTTTTCGTACAATCAATGCATAACCAACTTGTAAGTAACAAATCATATCTCTAGGTTTGAAGACTTATACGATATTACCGTCTCACGATCACTCGAGATAGAATTCCATGAAGTGATTCCAGTGAGCGTGGGTTGAGTCCAATGCTCAGAACTTATGAGCACTCATGATTGTTGTAGCCTTGTCCAAGACCTCTACAACCAAACATGACAGTCTTGATTCATACCTACTTCCGACATATGACTGACTGTGGAGATTTGAATAATATGTTATACCAAACAAAAATTATTCTGGAAGTCAAAACATGCAAAAGAAATATAGTAAACGATCGACAAGAGATAGTAACACTTTACTCATAAATAAAACATTTTTTATTCATCATCAAATGTCAATTACACTTTACAAATTTCGAGGTTATCTAACTACTAAATCTAATATCATCCTTCAGCCCTATGCTTCGAGCATGCTGGAGATGCTTAACCCGAGTCATTCCCTTTGTGAGGGGATCTGCCGAATTCTCATCTGATGATACCCTCTTTGCCACGAGGAGTCCTTCTTCGATCCGATGTCTGATGAAATGGTATTTTCTGTCGATGTGTCTGGATCTCTCGTGATCCCTTGGTTCCTTGGCTAAGGCAACAGCACTTTCACTATCACAGAAAATTTCCATTGGCTCTTTAATAGCTGGTACAACTCCAAGGTCTCCAATGAAGTTCTTCAGCCATATCGCCTACTTTGCCGCCTCGCTAGCTGCAATATACTCTGATTCACAAGTAGAATCTGCCACTGTCTCTTGCTTGGAACTCTTCCAAGAAACTGCTCCTCCATTTAGGGTAAAGACCCAGCCTGACTGAGAACGGAAATTATCCCTATCAGTCTGGAAGCTAGCATCACTATACCCTACTACTCTCAAGTCATCACTCCCACCGAGGGTAAGGACCCAGTCCTTAGTCCTACGTAGGTACTTGAGAATATTCTTTACCGCAGTCCAGTGTGCCTTGCCAGGGTTCCCCTGAAACCTGCTAACCATGCTCAAGGCAAAGGCTACATCAGGTCGAGTAAACGTCATAGCATACATGATCGAACCTACAGCCGAAACATAAGGTACTAGACTCATTTCTGCTGTCTCAGCCTCAATGCTAGGGCTTTGTGTCTTACTCAATTTGGCGTTACTCTGGATGGGCAACTCTCCCTTCTTGGAGTCCTGCATGCTGAATCTCTTCAGCACCTTATCCAAGTAGGTACTCTGACTAAGTCTAATTAGTCTTTTACTCCGATCTCTCAAGATCCTTATCCCTAAAATATAGGCAGCTTCACTAAGGTCCTTCATAGTGAAACACTTCCCAAGCCAGGACTTTACTTCCTGCAGGGTTGGAATGTCGTTTCCTATGAGTAGTATGTCATCCACATACAATACCAAAAAGATAACTATACTCCCACTAGGCTTGACATACACACAAGATTCATCTTCACTCCTAGAAAAACCAAATTCCTTGACCTTTTCATCAAACCAAAGATTCCATCTGCGAGGTTCTTGCTTTAATCCATAGATGGATTTCTCAAGCTTACACACTCTATTAGGGTACTTGCTGCTGACAAAACCTTCTGGCTGACTCATGTAAACATCTTCAGCCAACTTTCCATTAAGGAAAGCGGTTTTGACATCCATCTGCCATATTTCATAGTCATGAAATGCAGCTATGGCTAACAGAACCCGAATAGACTTAATCTTGGCTACCGGAGAAAAGGTCTCATCATAATCCACTCCAGGAATTTGAGAGAAGCCCTTTGCAACCAGTCTAGCCTTATAAGTGTGTACTTTACCATCCATGTCGGTCTTCTTCTTGAAGACCCATTTGCACCCCACTGTCTTACGACCTGGTACATTTTCAACCAAGTTCCAAACTTGATTGTCATACATGGATTGTATCTCGCTATCCATAGCCTCTTTCCATTTAGCAGACTCGGGGCCTGCCATGGCTTCCTCGTAGCTGTTAGGGTCATCTTGACTTACTAGTGTCCCATCACTAATAAGTGTCTCACCTTCTGCAGTAATATGGAATCCATAGTAATGC